AGGCAAAAGTCATAGTTAATAGTGAGAATTGGTCCCCAAACTAAAATGTGACCATAAAAATGATTTGACAAGATAAAAATGTTTAATGCAAGAGCTACTGTACTGAGTGCAGTGCTACTTTTTCTTTGGTTTAATGTGAACTGAATTGTGCACACAGTGATATTAAGATTATATAAATGTTTTAAGAACGTAAACTGGGCCCATTTTGATTTCATGTCAACTTAAAAAAGGGAAACTGATGATAAACTAACGTCATGGCACTTAGCAGTTAACACCGCTTCACACCAAATCTTTCACCAGTCGACTGACACAATCCTGGGCCAAAGTAACACAGACACAAAGTCACGAGAAAGTGAGGACTGCTGTTACTATGTAACTAACTGTAAAAATAATGTAATGCTGTCTGTAAAGTGAATCTCACAGATGTCTGCTGAGTTTCGTAAGAGTCAAAGGTTTGTCTGTCTTTCTCACAGAGTCTTATCTTTACTTAGGAAAGAGATATCCATCTTTGTTTTGGAAGAGTGTTAAACTTATCTTAGCACAATAGGACCACAATCTCTGAGGAGAGAAACACGAAGACACAGTTAAAGTCGGATTATCTTCCAATCCCAACATTAAGCAATCTTGCAGAAAACCGTGAACATTTTGTATTGGTGACACGTTTAATGATTTTGTTTTGTTTCCCGTACAAATCCATTTTGAAAGAATGTTTACCAGGAAATGAGGGACAGGGAATTAATCAAGGTGTGCCAACAAATCAGACAAGTCAGATAAACAAAGAATTAAAAATCGCATGAACGCCAATCTCATCCTAAAAGGGTTAGCTCACCAAAAAAATGAAAATGGCTGGTGCATCTCATTTTAAAGGCTGTGCATTTGTCAGCTGCATATGTTAATTGCAAAAAAGTAGCCATTACATTTCAAAGAAAGAACAATATTACACAAGGAATAACAGCCGAGTTTATAATGGTTACTTTTGTAAAATGAGACATCCTCGATTACATATGCAGCCGACAATCTCTGAAGGGTGCGGCCTTTGAAAATGAGACACAGCTGTTATCATTCATTTGAAACATCTTCCTTACTGTTTTTAACAGCAGCTCATAGTGATCAAGTCTGTCAAGCTGCAAAAAGAAAAGACAACAACAACAACAAATGGAACTAATCCATATTTGTCAGTAAAGACCTGGCGAGAATATTGGCGTAAGATTTAGATTATCAGTGAATAATAACAAAATGTTGGTCTTAGGGTGTGAAATTAACTTTTTCACTCACCAGCCAATTTGGCTACTACATTT